GACAGAATTAAATTACAGAGTGACATCACAAGGAAAATGATCAAGTATTTGACAAACTGGAAGAAAATGTTTCATGTAATTGAAATTAACAAGGGGTTACCATCTAGATTATACAGGAATTTACATATGCACAAGAAAAAGATGACAAGCACAATTTGAGAATATATAAAACTAAGCAATTTATTAAAAGTCAAATATGAATTTGCAAGTCAATGAAGAAAATCTTTGACTCTTAACTCACCAGAAAATATTATAGGTAAGCCAGCCATTAACAAAATATAGGAAGATGTATACTATGCACAATGCTACTGGGAGTACACACTGGTACTGCCATCATATAGAGCAATCTGGGCATACTTAGTGAAAATAAATATGATCCGGTAATCTATTCCAGGGAGGTATCCCAGAGGAACTTGAGCACAGGTTCATAGAGGGACAGGCACAAAGATGTTCATTGTAGCAGCAAATTAGAGGCAGCTGGGCCCACTTTGCTACAGAAATGAATAAGTAAAATGCTGTATACAGTAAGATATCATCCATTGCTCAGAAGCAATAAATTAGTATCATATATAGCAGCATGGGTCAATCTTTGAATGAATGGTAAGAAAGATAACATTAAATTTAAAAGTTAAATTTAAAAATTAAAATTAATTAAAATACAACAATTAAAACAGAGTGAAGCCTACAGAAAAATGTCTTTATGTAAATTAAAAACAGATGCATATATAAAACAGCATCATATGTTTCAAGGAATCATACATACTCAAAGTTTTCTGTGAACTTGGAATGTAAATGCAATAAAATGGTGTTTATAGCAAGAGGGATGGTAAATATAGTCAAAATGGATGAATGAAAAATAATCAAATTTTTAAAAAATTTGACTTAAAATTCGACTGTATATAGACAGTTGAGGTATACAGTTTGTATTAGGATATATAGCTAATTCGATAAACTGTACCTGATATTAAAAATATATAAATTATATAGTCATTTTGCCTTTCCTCTGTAACTTGGCCTGGAAAAAAAGTGTTATACTGAACAAAAATACTCTCCTTGCTTTTCTTAGAACATGCCAAGCTTGCAATATTTTAAGGAGGATTATGCCATTGTCCCCGGATACTTAGAGATCTCTACCTGTCCAAGTACATGCTTCAAGATACAGTTTATGCTCTGCTTCTCTACAAAACCTTTTGAATTGTTTCATTCACATAAATGTCTTTTTGAAACTGTTTATATAAGTTGCTTTATGACATCTAAGACTTAACTACACATACGCCCTCTATTGCTGTGTTATGTCTTTTCCAGGACTTTCTTTGCTAGATGCTAACATCCTAGAGATGAATTTCTTTGAAGCTTCCTGTAAGGTCTAAAACAGTGTTGTGCACAAAGGAAGACCTCAATAAATACCTTAATTAATAGATTTTCAGTTACAATGGAAAATTTATTTGAAATGTTGGTAGCAAAGGATATATAAGTGGGATCATAATGGAAGGTTGAAAAACTTTATTGTTTTGCAACTGGAAATTAGTTTTGAAAGTATGAGAGAACTGAGGTTCTGTTGGGAACTATAGTTCTTTGGGGGAACTAGAGAAGAATAGAGAATAATCCCCATCACACTATGAATAGAGTAGCTCTCCAGTGGTGGAGGGAAATGAAGTTTGCTTTAGATTCTTTGCTATTTCAAGGTTTTCTTTCCTTTTCTTGGTGTTTTCTTGTCTAGGAAACCTTTCACGCAGCATATCTCCAGCACTGACAGGCTAAGTACTTTTGCTTTTTGATTGTCCTAGGCAATGATAAATAACACTACCTCTGCCCTGAATATGTAAATAATTTTATTTTACTTTAATCTGAAAACTAAAGCTAATAAAAGGCCACTCAAAATGTTCTCCCTTAATCTATAAAACTGTTCTACAGCCCATTTTCCCAATTTTAAGGAAAATATTTTTTGTTTTTGATGAAAATTATCATTACAATATGATTACTAAATATATGAATTAATTTTTGTATATGAAATTGTGGTAACTCCTTTCATTGCCATGGAAGAAAGAACTAGTCTACACAGCAGAGTTGATAAACTGAGCAGTGTTCTCATTGAGATTCTAAATCTCTTTCAGCTGAGCTCTACAAATAATCTGAATGGGAATCAAAGGTTCTCTTTGAAAGGGAACTTGAACTTTGTGCAAAATCCAACAAAAGACTGTAACTTCCAAATAAGGAGATATGTGTCATTTGCTCAGCCCTCTAGAAGGTAAAGAAAAAATGTGTTCCTTTTGACCACCATTCCAGCTTCAGGGAATGGTGGTCAAAAGGAACACAATGCAAAGTGGAAATCATCATGGAGATGAGGTAATAAAAAGATAAGCATTCAATATCTACTTCAACTACTTCCTATTTTTGTTGTTTGAGCCAAGTCAGTAAGAAAACATTTCTGAAACTTTGCTTTTGGTATGATAAGAATGTGGGAAGATCTTTTTTTTATATCAACTAACAAGATCACTTGGTGGCTAAAAATAATATGTACATATAATAGCTGCCTGTTAGGAACATAAGAAACTGAGTTTCATACATTCTAGCAATTGATCAGTGATGAATGGACCTGGAGAATAGAAGATAATCCATAAATACTTGCTGAATTAATGCAATAGAAAAATGGAATACAACATTGAGGAAGTTAAGTCAGAAAAGAACAAGAAAGAGACTCACAGGCCAGGCATGTAAGAAGCAGAGGAAGAAATTCACAAAGGCAGAAAGGAAGATGTCCTCTTGATTCAGGTGTCAGTACCACAGAAAACTGCAGGACTCAAGGTAGTTGTCGCATAAAAGTGTTGCAAGCCCAATAGAAAAGAACAGCAAGCATGTTTAAGGAATTAAGATGCACAGTAGCAATGAACTACTTAATATAGATTAAACAACCTATGTAAACACTTTGATTTACACATTTGAGGTAGCTATAAGACAAGAAACGAAGGAAGTTGGTATCCCAATGAATGCATTATAGACTTTACACTTAGAGCAACTTAAATTCAGGTTCTACCATTAACTCTGAGACATCTAGAAAATGAATAATTCAATTCTGAGAAATAAAGATTGTAGTATCTACTTTGTAGGATTGTCTCTTTGACAAGAATATAAAAGGACCCAAAATATGCCTGACATTTCTGTCATTACCATTATTATTGGCATTACTGTAGATTTTCACGTCCAATTAGGTGTGTATCAATACTTTTAGGTATATATGTCTTGACTGCAATTCAAGGACTTGTAATTTGTTAAGAAACTTTAATTTGTAACTTGTAAAGTAAGTGACTTCTTTATTTTTATATTGTCTTCTATGTGTACTTTTTACTCCTTCATGTCCTTTAAAAGCCACACTTCCAAGCAAATAAATAAAAAAATTTCTAAATCTGGCCTAGCACCACTGAAGGAGGAAAAGGGACCATTCCATACTCATTCTAGAGTAGTTAGGTTGCCTGCCTATATGGCTGCCCTCTGGCCAGCTAGGCCCAGGATCTCAGAAGAACAGAAGAGACTGGGCAGTACCAGGGGAAGGACAAGTGGTAATTCAGGCATAGTTGAAGTTTTCTTTTTCTTGTCTGGTATGGGGATTGAACTCAGGGGCATAATACCACTGAGCTGCATGATCAACCCTTTTTATTTTATTTTTTTAAATTTTGAGACAGGTCTTCATAAGTTGCTGTGGCTGGTCTCAAACTTGCCATTGTTTTGCCTCAGTCCCCAAGTCACTGGAATTGCAAGCATGTGCCTCTGTGCCCAGCTATGGTTGCAGTTTTCCTTACATGATTCCATACAAGAGATAGACTACAACCTTCAAGTGGCTTAGAGCAGCTTCCCAATGAGACATTCAGGCCTCAAATTTACTTTTTAAAACAATACCCTCATGTAAGTGGTTAGTAGTGAGAATCTTCCTTCCAAAAAGGTATATAAGGTGCATACTTTTAATTGTAGACAAAAGCTAGACAAGATGTCAAGATTTTTCAATTACACAGAATAAAGAGAAAAATAATGTAAGATTTGTTATTTACAATACAGGATATTGATGACTTGTATATATATATATATATATATATATATATATATATATATATATATATTACAGTCAACAAACAAAACTGCTTATCACTACTAAATCCAGTTTCCAAAGAAACTTAGTTCTGGTGAAATGCATTAAGAATGTTAAGCAAGGCCTTTAGAATGATTTACATAATTAGGTAGCTAGCTCCCCAGTTTAAACTCCCTGATCAAGCATAGTTTTGATGTTATCTCATTAGTTAGCAAGCCAGCACACTTTTTGGCTCAAGGAAGAAAAAGCATAGGGGTCAGGGTAGGCCAAGAGTAGAGGAAGATGGGGGAGGGCTAGGTTTCACTTCTAATTTTTGGCCCAAGCTTTCATGAAGCTGAGGAAATTGTTTTTACGGAGTTAGAGCAATCCCAGTCCCACAATCCCAGAGAGAAAACGTGATTTCTCAATGATAATGTTGTGTTAATTCATAAAGCTGTGTGTGAACATAAAATCTAGGGGACACCCTGTGGTAAAGTCGTGTGACCTACGACGGGGAAATGGAGAGAGTGCTGCTTACAAGTGTACAGCACCAGGACGTTGGTACGATTTGCTTTTTGCTTATGGAGTTCGCGTACAGGGATAAGCGACAGGACATACTTGCATCGATTGGTGATGGGGAGCCCGTGAGGCGCTGATATACTCTAAAAAAGGAGACTAAGGTGAGAAGGCAAACGAAGCTGGATTTGAACAAAGGCGCTGTTGAATCGCAGAATACAGCTTTGGCTTCCCAAGAGGGTGGCGGTGAGAGCTGTGAGCCTGAGTGTGGCGAGCTCAGACCACTGTAGGCACGTCCCAGCCGTTCCTCGCCGCGTCCACGCCCCTCTGGAGCCCCGCCCCCTTGCGCGGACCAATGGCAGGCCGGGATGTTAGCAGGTGGGAGGCGCGGCCGGGTTGCTACAGCCAAAGCTGGGCGGCGGCGGATGCTGCTGAGAGAGTTGCGGGGAGTCGGAGGCTGTGGCGCAATGGAGGGGCTGGAAGGTGAGGAGGTGAAGGGATGCGGGCCGGGAATGAACATGGATTGGGAGCACTTGGGAGCCCTGGACACCAATCCCAGGAAGGCGAAGGCCGTTCAGGAGTGGGGATCCCCGTCGTGCCTGCGGAGGCCCGGGCGGGTAGAGCTGGACAGCCCCCGGCGTCTTGGAACATAGGACTCCCAGGCTGCCCCGCCTCAGACGGTCGTCAGCTGGACTACCCCACCCCTGCGAGAGCTAGCCTCGGCTCAAGACTGCACGTCCTCCCCTACCGTTTTCTGGTCTTGCGGAACTCCTGAGTTTACTGTAATCGCTGTAATCACAGGGGCTCTGGCCAGATTTTATTTTCCTTGCAAACTGGTCTCGGTAAATGTCCACGGCTTCTCCACCGCCAAGTCTTTGCTGGCCTCACGGGATTTATCTTTCACTTCCAGCCAGCTTCTGACACTTTCTTGGCCAGTTTCCCCAGATAACCGTTTGTCCATTTCTACAGCATCTTCCATCAGAGAGGTGCCAGAGCATTATCCTAAGGCAGTGTCTCTGGCCAGCTCTAGAGCGGGGACAATAGATTACAAGTATTTAATGGTTTATTCACAAGGGCTGTGTAAGGTAGAACCAGTATCGGTTCCTTATCTTTGGGTTTATCCTTGTGCTGTAACCATGACTCCAGATTTTGCTTTGTTCCCAGTTCTTTCACTTTTTCTGTATTCTCTACCCATTTTATCTTGTGTAAGGACAGCAGTCGCTTAAAAACAAAGGAAGAAAAAAAAAAACAGCATTGGCAACAACGGTTGCCAATAATTTTTTTTTAAATTGGTAATCCTTCTGATGAAGAAAAGGCTTTCAGATCGAAAGATTCTGTTGTCTTGATTCAGGTCCTTTTTTCTCCTAATTTGCATGGATTCAGGTGAAATTAAGGATAAGCAAAGGCACTGAACCCTTTGTATTGTTGTGTGATAGGAAAATACTTGTGTTATGAAGTGAAAAGTGATAACTAGTAACTTCTTAGTAATCTAAAAGCAAATGCAATAACATGAGTATGAGTTTTTTCATGCTTTTCCTTTAGTCTAAAAATCTTATTGAACACCTTTATGATGATAGATAAAGAATTCTGACAGTTCTCCATTTGTGGGCAGCTATAGCTGTGACCTATGAAGATCTTGTTTCCTTTCTGAATTTACTTTTATGAATTTTCCATAAAATCAGAAATTGTACTGATAGTACTCTTTTCTTTCAGGATAATCTATTTAGTGGACTTCTCTGGAGGCAGCCTATTTTTAAATTATCTTAAAATATGTAGTGATGTTATGACAAAGTGGCTTGGAGCATGGGTTCTGGAGTTCTTATAAGATTATTATAATACACATGAAGTGCTTTAATTTGCATATTTTTATTATTTTATTCAACATCTGCAATTAAAGCAATGATCTTCATTTAATTTTTTACTTAGGTTTTCTAAGCACTTTTCTGCCCTGAAAATGTACCAAAGAATAAAAACAGTCAAGGTCTAGCCTATTTTGTAGAACTTACATTTTTACAGTTCTGGTAGTACTATTACATTTAAGATACAATGGAGCCTATTATAATATTAAATTACATGGGTTGAGAAATACATTCTAATGAAGTATGGAATGGACATGTTTTATGGATCTAGCTTATGATATATCATGTTAAAAAATACTTGATATTTTTAGAACAAAATAGGATGAGGTCCTAAACTATAATGCATCTAAATGTAATTAATTAGGTTGAAATATATGAAAATTGCTTTTTGTCTGGCAAAACAGTTGAATTTTGGGTAGTGGTTTAGCCTAATAAAGCTCTTTTGAGTTTTCTTTTGAAGGGAGGACAGTGCCTTTCATGCTTAATTCCCCTAACCCCTCCTCCTTTAAAAAATTAGTTCTTATTAGATCACATTTGCTGAAACTTTAAATCTTAAGCTTGCCATTAATTAATTCATCCACCTATGCCTTCATTTAATAAATATTGATACAGTGATAGATGTCTTTTCCCTATATTGGAAATTTAAGTCTACTACTTTGACAGTGTCTGATAAACATTATATTGAATTGTTGATTATATTGCAGTATCTAGTGTAAAATCTTCAAGTTTGCATAATGTGTTGTAGTGGTATTTGCATGTAAATCATATACCACTTATTTTTTTATCTTCTGGGGCTTTTAAAAACAAAGTCAAAGAGATGAGCTATTACACTCAACACTGTATTTTGAAACCAAATTTAAGTTAATGCTCATATTTTCTATAATTGATAACTGAGCACTTCTGTAAGGTTTGAACAGTTAAAACTAAGTCTTTATTTTCTTTCACCCTAAGGCTGAGGTGTATCTAAGAACAATAAAAATAGGTTTAGATTTAGGAGACTTACAGTCTCTTATAAGTTATCTTCTGTAAAATTAAGAGCAGATAAAATCTAAGCAGAATTTATATTTCATTGTCATTGCCTTTATAATGTCCTCCTTAGTGATGATAACAATTGTGGCAGAGATCAGACTACCCATTCCTCTTAGGTTGCCAAAATTATTACATCTTAGTATTGCCTTCCGAAACTTGATTAGAAATGAAATTGTTGTTCTATAGTATTGCCCTTTTTCTAGTTGAAGGTAGCCATTATGTCCCATTAAAGTTTCTGCTTTGTTTTTCCTTAGGATAAATATATACCAGGTCATTGAATAATTCTTCTGTCTCTATTAATTTTTAGCATTCATTGTATTTTGGGGACTGAGTTGGATGCCAGATACTTTAATGGCAAATGTAGAGGCTTATATTTGAATCCTTGCTTTGTTTCCTTTTATTTGTATGATTTGGACATTTATTTAATCAAAACCTCAGTTTCCTTAGCTGTAAAAAACTGTTGTTGAGTACTAGACTACCATATTATTAAATACTTAAAGCATTTAGCTATGTCTAGACTGAAGGTTCTTCAGCACAGTTTACTGGATGGATTAAATCAAAGGAGATGTGTTAGATGCTTAAGGATAGTCTAGTATTTCTTGCCACGCTGTATTTCACCACCCAATTGTCACAGATCTTATGACTTTTTTTTTTTTTTTGCAAAAAGTTAGGATACAATATACTCTACTATCATGTATAACTAAAAAGAACACGTATAACTAAAAAAAAAATTGGAGTACAACCATTATGTGAAACTTTTAAAAAAATATGCTGGTTTTACTTAAAAAATCATTAATTATTAACTATCCTTAGTGCAAGATTAGGATATTCAAAATATTCCTAAAATACATTAAAATATATTAAAATTGAATCATCCAAACCTGCACACATCATTTCTTCATGACAGTTTGGCAAACATATTTCCAATCTGAGAAAAAAAAGTGAACACATTAGTTGTTATTGATTTTTGCAATATAGTCAAATTAATATACTTGACAAAATTTATTCCAGGGTTACAAAATATGGACTTAGAAAATTTAATTTGTGTCTGAAGATTTTGCACAGCTATCCTTGGTTCAGTTATCTGAGCACTCTCCTCAGCTCCACTCATATAAGATTGCTTATCTTTAATGCTGCAGCCTTCTCAACACACCACAAATTGACTTTCAAAAATATACTGACCATGTATGTACACTGAAAATTGTAAGCTCTTCTGGCAGCACAAGAAGACAAATGCACATCCATGTGCTACTGTAAATACATTACTGTTCTGTTTACCTTATAAGTGAGGTGATGAACAGAATTATACCATGAGACAATTGTTCAATTTTTGGACTGGAAAACAGGGCACGTCAATTATGCAGTGGTGCCACTTATGCAGAGAAATATAGAAGGTAAAACATGATATGTCATCTATCTCCCTCTTTAATTATGGTAGTACTGGAGGTAGATTTGGATAGACTGAAAAAGATAGAGGCTGAAATTCTTAGATGTGATGAGGTTTGGAACTGAGGAATTAGTATAATGAATTAAAAGGGAGGACAGATATTTCTTAGGTAGAAAATTGAGATATCATTGCTATATGTGTAAGGGAAAAGAAATCAAAGATAAAGCAGCTTTCTAGCTTTAAATAGAAGAGGGGTAATATCTTTAAGAGGAAGATCTAGTTTGCTGGATGAGTTAATGAGTTTGGCTTTAGAGATGTGTTTGTGCAGTACTTGTGCAAAAGTCTCATAGTTGCTTGGAAATATCTATCTACTTGGAGCTTTTGATTTAGTAGTTATTGACATATGTGACTCAAATGGGTGCAGTAACCCAAGCAAACCATAATTTACCAAAATGAGGGAAGAAACTTGCAAAAAAACTAATGCTTTAAAACTGAGCAGGTCAGGAAATTAGGGTGGGAGAGTCTTTAAAGAATTTTTAAAAATTGTCATGAAAAGAAAATGGGGAAGAAACTAATGTTTATGGAGTAGTGAATGTGTTCTAGAAAAAGCCTATGGCACCTGGTATTACTAGGAAGTCTGGATACTAAGGAGTCCAAACCCTGCTTAGTTTGTAACATATGGAAATTTGGGGCTTAGGAGAAAGAAACAGAAGCCAAGAGAAGAAGGAATTTAAAGGATGAAGGGTTTTTATCAACAGTGCCTCATGCTGCAAAAACAGGATAAGGATGCAAAAGCGGGACTCAAATTTAACAATTAGTAAATTAATAGTGAGTGGTTATCTCTGTTTCTTTAAGTCTTTAATTATCCTCATTAACGAAGCTTTCCCTTATCCTACCCATTTCCCAAAGATAGCTTTATGACTCTCCTGTTTTCCCTTATTCTCTTCTTCCTTCATTGTGTTTATCACCACCTGGCATTTTATATATTTATCTATTTTTAACCCCCCATCCCCAACCCCCATTAAAATAGTAGAAGCTCCATGAGATTGGAGTCTTTGTTTTCTTTATTCCTGGATTCCTACATTTTAGAACACTTCTTGTCTTGTGTTAAGTGCTCAACAAATACGTACTAAGTCGAGGAAAGAAACTGTTTTAATATAATGGTTAGGATTAAAAGTCTGCCTGCAATATAGATAGGGAGTGAATGA